CTTTCTTTCTTTCTTTCTTTCTTTCTTTCTTTCTTTCTTTCTTTCTTTTTTGGAACCAGGGATTGAACTCAGGCCCTTGCGCTTGCGAAGGAAGCGCTTATTCCACTGAGCCATCTCCCTGCCCCTCTTTTCTTTTCTTTTTCTTTTCCTTCTTTTGGTGGAACTGGGGATTGAACTCAGGCCCTTGTGCTTGCCAGAGAAGTGCTTATTCTACTAAGCCATCTCCCTGGCCCGGACTTTTTCATTTTTTAATTATCTATCTTTTCTACTTTGTAATTACTTCTGGAACTAATATGGAAAATTGTACGAGGCATTTTTATGTCTTCATGGTTGATTTTGGTTTCCAGTTCCTGTCTAACATTACGATTCTAAAAACATTTATTTGAAAAATGTGTTAATGTTGAAAACATACACTGAAAAAGACATCAGATATTGAAATTTTGTCATATTTTCTCTTAAAATACAGATTCTCTTTCTAATGCTTGCCTATAACTACGTAGCATATTGAATTACTTAGAACTTTCTTTCATTATTTTCTGGTGACACTATATTTAGAAAGAGAGGAAACATAAAATCTTAACTAAAGAGGGAAAACAACATTTTCAAAGAAGTGATGGATGATACACTTCAAACAGAAAGGAAAGAGTAGCAGAAAGTGCCAATTTTCAAGTGGAAAGTTCACAGAAATGACCAAAAAGGATGAAAAATATAACACAGTGTCTTTCCTTCCAAGTTTCTTAGATTAGCATAAAGGAAGCCAAAAATTATGGGGCACCATGATATGCTTATGACCTCTAGTGAAAACATGAAAGATAAACAAATTTTAATGTAGAAACAGTAAGAAGATCCATGTGGATGCTACTTTTTAGTAACTCCACTATTGTGGTAAGATGTCAAGTCTATCAAAAATCATCCACTAAGAAGACTATACCACATGGAAAATCTTATATAATTTAATCAAAATCTAATTCTGGGATGTTTTTACATAATCAGCTATCACATATTAATATGTGAGCTGTAAAAGGCTCAAGTCAACAACTTCTGACATTGCCAGTCCTATGGATAACCTACTACTATATTAGAATATTTTGCTGAATGCACACACCTACAATATTTAAATGGCAATGAAATACCCATTTCTAACAAAACTAAACAAAAAAAGGAATATAAATGAAGGATCATTTTGTATCTGTATATACAAAGTAGGATAGATATACAGCTACTTTCTCTTCAATGAGAAGAAAGATTTGTACTATTGTGTTTGGAAAGGATATCATGTCTGCCTCTTGTACTGTGAATAGCCACTATGAAGAAAATAATATGCAATGTATTAATTATTGAAACTGTTTTACTAACTGGCTTTGAAACTGTCTCATTGCTATTTGTTTCTCAATAAAATTAATTAAAAAAGTAATTAGCTATCAGACAACTCATAAGTTGGGAAAAATTTAGACAACTGTCCCTCAGATAACAGATTTCTATCTAGAACATATAAAGAATTAAAATCTGGCCCCCAAAATTCAAACATACTATCAAAAAATGGGCATCTGAGATGAACATACACTTCTCAGGGAAAGAAATATAAATGGCATACAAGTATATGAAAAAATGTTCAACATCATTGGTCATTTGAGAAATACAAATTAAAACACCACAGAGATTACATCTCCCCAGAGAGAATGGCCATCATCTATAAGTCAGCCAATGACAAACACTGGAGAAGTTGTGTAAAGGGCCTACATAATTAAAAAAGAGGTTTGCAGAATAAATGAAACATACCTGTACACATACACACACACGTGCACACAATCACTCACACCAATTATATGGCATTTGAAAGCACAATGAAGAACAGTATGGCTAGTTCAATGGGATTACCACAGAAAATAGAGAAAAATGAAGAATTAAAGAGCAAGTTCTTTACAAATATTAATAAAATTGACAAAATTTTAGAAATATTAAAA